CCATGGCAGCGGTGGCATCAGCCCCCCACCACCCATCACCCCGCCCTCCATGGGGGTGACTATGGCCGGGGCCTACCCTCCGGGGCCCCACTCGCACCCTGGGCTGCTCAGGGGGGGAGCGGGTGGACTCGGGATCATGGGGCTGCCCCCTCTGCCAGCCCCTGGGGAGCCTTGCCCATTGGCTCAGGAGGAAGTGATTGAGATCAACCGGGCAGGTGAGGAAGGGCACGAGGGGGGTGTGGGGGCACGGGTGGAGATGCATGGGAGGAGGTGGGGAGGTTCTGAGGGGGGCAGGAGGTGGATGCTGAGATTTCGGAGAGATGCGGTGGTCAGCAACAGAGAAGGGAGAGAAAAGTGAATAGTAATTGCTGAGGCCAGAGAAGTGGCACAGAAATAGACAATGACAGAGAGATTTCATGTGAGACAGTTTTGGGGAGAGACAGACTTGCAGCCAAAGTGTTCAGGGGGACCAGGGAGAGAGGGTCTCACGTGAACCATGGGCTGGCTAGAGACAAGAGACCCTGAGAAAAGAGTCTAAAAGCCACAGTCTGAAACCAAGAGATTGTCATTGAGAAGGAGAGAGAGAGATCAGAGATGGAGGGAGCCGTGGGGGGGTCAGCAGCAGAGTTTAGGTTTGAATAGCTGAGACAGAGAGGAGACAAGACTGAAAACTAAAAGTGAAGAGTCAGTGGCCAGGGGAGATGGGCCGAGAGGGTGGAAGGCCATTTGACTGGACAGTGACTCGGGACTCAGGGCCCAACCTCTGGCTCTGCACAGAGGGTCTGAGAGTTTCGCAGAGATGTTGCCAAGAGGAAGAGTTGAGACCAGGGAGATAGAAGAGTTGACTGGGCCTGTGTGTGTCACTCCCCCCAGGGGAATCTGTGCTTCAGAGGCAGTGAGTGGGGTGTCAGTTTGGGAGGAGGGAGATGCTGGTCGGCCCCACCCCCATGTCTTAAGTAGGTCAAGAAAGGGAGCTGGGCCGCCTGGCCCCCATCTTGCTCCCTCAGCCACTGACCCAGTTTCACACCAATTAAAAATAGCCCGAGTCAGAGCCTGGGGGACCCCCACTTCCCCCTCCCTCACCTGTCACCTTCTTAACCCTTCCCTACTGTGTCCTTTCCAGTGTTCAACGTCCCTCCCTAAACAGCCCCTACATTCCCCCCAGCTATCTACCCCAGCCCAATACCCTACCAACCCAACACTTTACCCCAGTCCTGCCCCACTCATTGCACTTCAACCAACCACCCCACCCAACACTCTGTCCCAGCCTCCTTCCCAGCACCCAGCTTGCTTCCCAACCACCTCTTGCCCATGTCCTTCCCTCCAAATGCCCAACACCCAACCCCAGACCTGCCTTTCCCAGCGGCTAACACCTGACTACCACTTCCTAACACTCAACCTCAACCTCCTCCTTGTGCTCACCTCCACCCACCATCCCCTAACCACCTCTCCCTACCCTGTTGTCCTTCCCAACACTCAACACCCTTCCCCAGTGACCTGCCCAAATCCACCAGCCATGCCCCCTACCACCCTGCTCCCAATTGAGCCCCTCCTGTCACCTTTTTCTGACACCCTGCCCTTTCGTCATCTTCCAGCACCCAAGTTCGACAACACCCTCTCCTTGCTAGTCTCACTCCCACCGTGCGTTTCCACATCTCACTCTTTCCTTTGTGTCTCTGTCTGACTCTGGGGATGTAGATCCCCGCCCCAATGGGGACCCAGCAGCAGCTGCACTTGCCCATGAGGATTGCCCAGCCATCGACCAGCCCGCCATGTCCCCGGAAGACAAGAGCCCCATCACCCCTGGGAGCCGGGGCCGCTACAGCCGGGATCGAGCCTGCTTCCTTCTCACGGACTATGCCCCTTCCCCTGATGGCTCCATCCGGAAAGGTGAGGTGCCTTCCACTGGCCCCCTGGGACCCTCCCTCTCTCGCCTCCCCCAGGGGAGGGGGGAGAGGGGACTGGGGAGGAGGTATTGGACTTCCCTTCCCCCATCCCCTGGCCCCAGACCTCCTCCTTCCCAGAAACCCCACCCCCAGTTTCCTCACCACTGACCCTTCACCTGTCTTTATTGCATCTCCATTTCCCCCACCCCAACCCTCTGG